ATCGACTTTAAATTTGACGCAGGTATTGAACTTCTAAAATCTAAATAGAAATCTAAAATACATTGGAAATTTTTCTTTTCGGGAGAAAATAATTAACCATATATCAAAATTCGTAAAAAACATGTCCATTTGATTTATATATTTTTATAGGACGCATCGAGGGCTACAATTTTTGTCATTTACTATTACGACATACTGCATGATTTCAGGGAACAAATATTTTATCGAAAACCATTTACAGTGCTATAACTTAAAATTAAAAACACCCAGAAAATTGCCGGCTTTAGTCTGCCATACAGGGTGAGCGACATATAATCGCTGTTACTAGTACAAATTTTTAAATTTACCAAAGGTTGCTGTAAACTCTGAAGTTCGGCGAAAAGTGATTTACGTTTTATACAGAGTGGATGAACAATAAAATTACAATGATTTTGCGAAAGTTCCATAGTGATCCGCAGGAGCACGACAGAAACACAATGCGACGCGACGCGACGCAAAACAGCTTCTTTAAAATACAAAACTGCTCTGTAACAAAACTTCTCTATTATTTCTAAAGATGTTCCCGGGTGTTGCAAAGAATTAACTTCTCAACGCATACTATATTCTTCAAGTGTAACCATATTGAGAAGTATGAGCAGAAGATTTAAGCCTGAACTCTTTGGTTGAAAAACAATGTCCCTTCTTGTTCTAGAGAACATTTAGATGATGCTGAAAGAACCGCACCAAATGTTCAACTTAAACTCATGCTTAAAATGTATAATTTTTGCTTATTTTTCAATTAAAGCTTGCAAATGTAGTCTAGTCGGTAAAAAGAATCTTATAAGGAAATTCGTGCCTGCGGCTTGTATAATTTGTAAAAATTGAGCAAATTGTAGGCGAGCTGGTAAATCTCAAGCCAATAATTGCTGAACCGAAATATAATGATATGAACGGAGTTTCGGTTAGCTAGAAAAATGATTATGTCGTTGTATTTTGTGATTACTTGCTAATACCTTTGCGCAAGTAGTAATAAGCAGGTAAACTAACGAAATAATTTCTAAAGATATAGAAGCATTGAAAAAGATTATGAGAAGGTCTGTTCAATAGGCACATGCGCGAGATTTAAAATATGATTTTTAACCAATGACCTTCAGCAGCATTCAAAAATCAATATGGCCGCTGACAGATCGTCAATAAATTTCGATGCGCCATTTTACGTGAATAATAGCTATATGAAACTAACCAAAATATTTCGACACGTAAACTTGACAAATGCTGACACAAGTCTACTTAGCAGAAAATAGCAGCGTCAGAATTTCGGTGCATTGTTATTATTCAATGTAGCTTTTTTGGAAGAATTGGAATTGGAAGAAATACCTTGAACTTTTTAAATGCAAATCAGTGAAAAACCAGAGAGCATTAGACAGCATAATCAAGAGTACATTTTCTCTAAAAATTAAACATTCTTTCAGATTGTCATCATGTTTCAACCATAACGCGACGCATTAAAACAAGAATCATTCTATTTATCTAAATAATACGGTAACTTTAATGCCCTCTAGGAGCAACGTCCAAATAATTTTCAATTGTGTCAAACTTTTCAATTTATGTCAAAAACCCTGAACCTACCAATTATTATTAATATTCTATAAAAACCTTTTCCATTAATGAGCAAATTCCGAAACCAGCGACTTATTTGTCAGGCATATTGGGCTCGCTCATATTATTTTCCTTATGAATCTCCCTGAATTATATATTACCTGTCCTCGGAAATTTGAATATAATGAACGTTGTATCCATACAAAATACATGTTCATCATCTCAACGTAAGAAAGTGCTCAAAACTACAATGAAAACTTAAAAATACTTTATGATTTCACAGATTTCTTATTTTTTAAATTTAAAAAATAAGAAATAATATTAATTAGTTAACGCGACATATATATATATATATATATATATATATATATATATATATATATATATATATATATATATATATATATATATATATTTATATATATATATATATATATATATATATATATATATATATATATATATATATATATATATATATATATATATATATATATATATATATATATATATATATATATATATATATATATATATATATATATATATATATATATATATATATATATATATATATATATATATATATATGTCTTTGTAATAAGTAACTGTACTTATTACAACGACACAATTTAGATAGAAAAATATACATTCTGTTGGGAGAAATTGTCACTTAATGCGAAAACCACCATATGTCAAGAAATAATTTCTGAACTCAAGTATTTCATGCGTTTAAGTAGATACTGAATACGAGTTATAAATATAGCTTAGGTACGATAGTACGATAGAACGATAGTCTTGTGTTTTTATTTAGTAATAGTTGGAGGTTACATTTATGGAAGCTAAATACCCACAAATGCTACTGGATAAAGCAGAAATGACCACGACCACAAAAAAAAAACACATACACAAAAATTGACCCTATCATGGGTTCAAGATAACTCTCCTAAGATTTGTTATTCATCGCAGCAAATCCTTCCATTCTGTGGCGCCACCAGTCCTGGGAACAACACACTTTGGTATATCTTATAGTCTGATCTCCTACGGTATTATGCTTGGGTTGAGAAAGAAAGCTATAGCTCTTCGCTTTTCCAGGCTGTCGTCATCTCAGAATAAATTAGATCAATGTTAAATTTTTAATGCCCTACCAAATAATATTCAGTCTGTACTAGCCAGAAATTTCAAAAGGATAATGAAGCAATCTTTGTTAGAGATTCCATTGTATAGCGCTTATAAATACTTGGACCTGCTTAAGCAAACAAAACTTACAATATAACTGTGAGTTTGTGTCAGATTCATAATATTCAGGGTTATTTTTTATATATTGGGATTGACGGAAGTCACCGACAAAAAAATGTAATACAAAAGTTGTATAATTTTTGCAGTATTATCTTTGGAACTTGTAAAAGAAAACAAATGCGCAGTAGCCGGTTTTTTATTTTTAAATGCACCCATATATTTTTTTTTATGACGAAAGATCTTTTTCTCCTGATTTTATATATATATAGATTGTTGATATTTGGATAGACCGTTCTTTAAATTTAAATTTTTGATTAACTAAACAGATGTTAATCAAATTGACCAGGCGTTCCACAAATTGAAACCTTCAGTGCGGAAAATGGGTTACTCAGAGTAAAAAAGCTTCAAGTAGTGCGTCTTTCTAAAGAACATAACATCAACAACAACAAAAGATAATAAAGCGGATAACAACGATAATTCAAAGAACAATAATGATGATATAACGTGAAGTAAATGGCATGTGTTTTCCATATATCCACCATTATTTCTCATATATTTTCTAACAGTATCTCTCAATTCATAATAACAATATATTGAGCATTTTTTTTTCAAGTCTTTGTCTCAGCACTCGTATATCTTGAGGTCTGTCATTGTATACTCCGTTTCTTAAAGTTCCCGATAGGAAAATATCAAGAGGGTTTAAATCGGGGCTACTAGCGGGTCCCTGAATTGTGGCATGTCTGCCTATCCAATGATCATAAATGCCAATTAGGTATTCAGTAACTAGATCGGTATTGTGGGGCGGTGTCTCATCTTGTTAGCAAATCAGGTTATTGTATTGGCGAACTGGTAGGCCTTCCAAATAATTTTCAATATTATTTTGAATTGAATCTAAATTGCGATTACCCGTCAGATATCCGTCAAGAAAAATCAGTCCTATTATTTGGTTGGCTCAGCATGTTACTCCACACAGGAACCCATCTACGACCCTGTATATTTACTTGTTGAATTTTATGTGGGTTTTCATTTGCCCAATAATGCTTATTTTAACATATAACAGTAAAAATAATTTTAATAGTAACCTTCAGATAAGCCGTGATATAACATTTTAATCTTGTAATATGACATACCCAATTTTGCAGCAACAATTGAGACTGACTTTTCACGATTTTCTGAAAAGTTCTAAATAGAGCAAAATAAACAACTGCAAACAAAGGACTTTCTTCCTGACAGAAAATGTATTGGGTGTTCCTTTTAAAAATAAAAAACTTGCTACTGCTTCTCAACTTTGGGATGCGCATTTGTTTTATTTTAAAAGTTTTTCTCGGTAACTTCCGTTAACCTCCGTAGGTGGGTACGTAAATATAGAAAATAACTCTATACATATGATTTATTGTCAAACCGCTTGCCATATTATCTGTCGACTAACCTATGCTATTTTGTAAAATTTACTTGAACGATTAATAAAGTTCTGTCTTTGTCGGTCTCTTGCATATTAATAAAGATTTATTTTTAGTTTCTGATCCTGTTCTCCCTTTTCAAAATTACGTTGTTGTTGTTGAAAAGCTCTCTTGATGTTCATCATCAACGGAAATTACCTTTTTTTACTCCCGTCTGTAAAATACCTAATTACGCACCGATCTGGCGTGCGGGAAGCGTCACTTTACGTTTAAGTTTCATTTCCCACGGATCCGAGCCACTTCGAACATTTCCGGGATTTTACCGCACGGGTGTGGGAGCAATCGGATGTTATCGGAGATATTTCCCATGCTTTGAATTTTGACGTTTGTCAATTCTGACAGTCATGTCAGTGAATGTATTCGTGTTGTTTTGCGAAAATGTACCCAAAAACTAACGGTGGTAGAAAAAGTATAGTATGCAACACGTTCGGTAAACTTTTTAACTCACTCGTTTATTAAACACTCGCTACGCTCGTGCCAAATAAACTCATGAGTCAAATGCCGTTTACCGCACTTGTTGCATAATATACTAATTTCTATCTAGATACCAAAAACATATTTCCCCAATTTTCACCCAAATAGTATCGGACGATTTTTTTAAATTCGGAATATTTTTTTTTTTCAGGAAGACTGTTGTTTGTCATTTAATATTGAGTAACTTCTGCCTCTTGTTACGTAAACAACTACCTAAGTTAATACGCTACAGTATGTTTTTTATTTCAGGAAAATTTTAACCTTGTTATACCATGGGTTATTGGCTCGATAACGTTCATGGCGTTGGAGGCTGTCGCAATGGTTTATTCCAATGTCCTCAGAGATCACGTAAACAAGGTAAATTTCCACCTTTTTTTACCACCTACATAGTTAGTCTCATCAAGCATTGAAATACCTTATTAATATCTTGAAAGTAGTTGGGAAATATACATAGCGTTTTCTAATTGAATGTCGCTAACTAAGGAGGCGATTTTTGGATCCATTTTAAAAATAAAACTTCATATGAACATCTTAATTTTTCAGGTACAGGATGGTAAAGTTTTCAAACTAAATATATAACTAAAATATATTTTTTTAATATCCTATATAATTATCATTATTATTTAATAACTTAAATGCCTATCTGTTTTATTAAAATACTTCAAAAAACCAACGTACGAATACGAAGTACGTAAGCTCTGAGGAGTATTTTTGAAATCTTTAGAATTATTTTTTATCATTCTAGGCTGTCTGTAAGATGGTTGTTTAAAAGTTGTTGGATATCAGGTTTTAAATTCATTTCTTCGCCACTTATAAATTTAAAATCTCCTAGAATTGTTATTTTAAAAAAGAATGGTCCAGTTTACTAATGAGGAGTTAGCAGATATGCATTTTATGCATGGCTCGGTTGATGGCAGTGCGCTGGAAGGTAGGCGATTATATCAAGAGCGCTTTCTTAATAGAGTCACAACATATAGGCGAACATTTTCAAATCTACATAGAAGGTGGACTGAAACAGGTACTTTGAAGGCAAATAATAATTTAAACGGGGCCCATCGTAAGAACTGTAAGAACTCCTGAAATTGAAGAAGCTGTTTTAAATTCTATTAATGACAATTCTGAACTGAAGTACTAAAAAAATTGGAAATAATCTTGATATATCCCAGGTGCTAATTTTGTTCAATGATTTCTGGACAAAATTGCGCATTATCCCTTGTTTGACTAAGAAATACTATTCACAGATTACAGATGCAGTTGCAGAATTTAAACATTAAGAACAGTTTTCGGTAAATGTTTGGGCTGGAATTGTTGGAAATGACTTATTTGAACCATTTTTTCTAGCAGAAAGGCTCAATGCCGATAATTATATCCGGTTTTTAGGAGGGTATTTGCCAATATTGCTAGAAGAAGTACCATATTTAATTAGGAACAGAATCCATGTAATCCAGTAAGACAATATTTCAATCACACATTTTATAACTGATAGGTAGGTCGCGACCGACCTCAACCATGACCCTCTAGGTAACCAGATTTAAATAGTTTGGACTTTTTCTTATGGGGGCATCTTAAACATCTGGTTTCTCACACCCCAGTTAACACCGTAGAAGAGCTGAAGGGTTGCATAAGTGCTTCCTAAGATTTAGAAGAAACACTAGAGTTATACTTAAAAGAGTACGCGGCAATATAAGGAAAAGAGCTGAAAGGTGTACCCTTCAAGGTGGAGGTCACTTTCATCAACTTATCTAGTTTTTATTTTCTACTTTTTTTCAAAAAGGTTGTTATTAATTTATTAACAGACAATTTTATTAAAAGTTATTAATAGTAGGTAGTGTTCTTTTTTTAAATAAGAATCGTTTATTATTTATCTTGTTGTTAGTATGGTATATTTTTTCATTAAAACTGTAAAAGTAAAAAGGCTTCTATTTTTTTTTCTAAAAGATACTAGTTGGAAACTAAATTAAAATTTATAAGCAGATTTGATCTCTTTTTTTGCTCCTTGGCACGATTTTGACTTAAAAATAAAAACTAATTTCTCTGGCCGATGTCATATTAACATTTTGTTGTGACCGTGCAGAGAAGAGATTTTTATTCTTTTAAGCCAAAACTGTACATCGGATTTAAAAAAAGCAATAAATAAAAATTATTTTTCTTCTAATAATTATAAATTCTGGTGATTTGTACAATTTTAACCCTTTGCGTAATACCAGAGGTAAAATGGACAGTTTAAAAATTCTAAAAAAAGCTATCCCATATTATTATAACTGAATTATAATTAATTTATGGAAAGTGTTATTTTTTGGAAAATTCTATGGATTTAGCCTAAAGCCAGAACTTTCAAAAATCTTATAAATACCAATAACAAATTTTTTAGTCGATACAAAAATACTTTTTATAAAAATAATGACTGAAACTGGCTCGCATTTTACTCAGTTTTATCCAGAAATTTTATAAAAAGTATTACAGCAGCCTGTGGAAGTTTCTTTAAAAAACGACACAAAAATAGTTACAAATCAGTAACATTTTTCTTATTAAATATTTTTTAATAAATAATGGTAATTATTATATATAATATTATAATTATTATATATAATATTATAAAAAGGGGAGAGTGAGGCACGACTGCCAGAAGCTTCGCCAAAATTCGGGTAAATTTAGTAAAAGTTAGTTAAAATCTACAAAAAATGATAAAAAGCTTAAGTTGGGCGCCTTGCCCTACACTCTCCTGCACTAGATAATGTCTCTTGATACATAGTACATGTGTACCAAATTCCAGTGGTATTACAGATATACAGATATTAAAAAATATGTTTAGGACATATGTTCATTCTTCAGTTTCGTAATTATTGACATTGAATTAGTCATGTTCTTATCACTGTTTTCTTTAAACTGGAGGAATCTCAGCAAGTAGTAGCAAACTACGATTCGTGCCAAAAAATCGAATTTTTAAAGAAACACTATTTAAATATTAAGAACAACAACTCCGTGGTAATTATTTCTGTTATTACGACAAACAAAGATTTTTTCTCAGCAAATTACAATTGATAATCTGTTAAATCTGTGTGAACATATCGACGAATGCCTAAGGTAAGTTCCAACAAAATTTTACTTCAAGACAAAAATATCATGGTTTACTACACTGCATGCCAACTAACCAACAAAGCATTATAAATATAGCCTATGCGAGATCGTTGTTATATTTCGTTATATTTTAACAGATATCTGATTCCGTCCGTACAGTGAAAATCACATCTTTTCGTCCAATCTGAGAAAGGGTAAAATGCTAATGCATTTCCTAACTTTCGTGCGCGAAAGATATGGGTTATAAATTTTCGCCCGACTGTAAATGGAAAAAGTGATAAATCCCATTTTATAATTCGATTTATCACTCATGCGGTGCTCCCTTAGGAGTTACGTACGTTGGTTGCAGGCGAAAAAGGTTTATGATCAATTGCTGCTAAGCGTAAACAGGTGATGGACTTTTATATTCATTATGACTTGCAACCGTCCTGTAGGTGTCCTTTAAGAACTTAATAACTAAACCCTCAGTAATAATAATAATATTATGAAGTTTAATTACTTAAGGGGTGTTTTTTTTCGATGTATAGAACTTTAAGTTGCAATTAAACAACGACGGATTATTCGATTGCCATGAATTTTATTTCTCCGAACGATAATCTTGTGGCATTACATTTTAAATATGATTTCTGGTAAATGACCGCCACGGCTGACTCGGATGTAGTCCAATCTGGACGTCCAATTTTCGATGACTTTTTCCAACATTTGTGGCCGTATATCGGCAATAACACGGCGAATGTTGTCTTCCAAGTGGTCAAGTGTTTGTGGCTTGTCCGCATAGACCAATGACTTTACATAGCCCCACAGAAAGTAGTCTAGCGGTGTTAAATCACAAGATCTTGGAGGCCAATTCACAGGTCCAAAACGTGAAATTAGGCGGTCAACAAATGTGTCTTTCAATAAATCGATTGTGGCACGAGCTGTGTGACATGTTGCGCCGTCTTGTTGAAACCACATCTCCTGGACATCATGGTCATTCAATTCAGGAATGAAAGAGTTAGTAATCATAGCCCATAAAGCGCACCAAACAGTCAGTTTTTCTGGATGTAACGGTGTTTCTACATACACTTGAGGATTAGCTTCACTCCAAATGCTGCAGTTTTGTTTGTTGACGTAGCCATTCAACCAGAAGTGCGCTTCATCGCTAAACAAAATTCGCTTATGAAAATCGGGAACAACGGCAATCTCGTTTTGGGCCCATTTACTTGATGATCGTTTGGCTTCAATTCTTGCACGAGTTGGATTTTGTAAGCACGTGAACCAAGATCCTTCCGCAAAATCTTCCATAAAGTGGATGGATACACATCCAATTCCTGTGCTCGATGGCGGATGGACTCATTCGGGTCTTCCTCAATGCTACGCTCTACAACAGCAAGAGCTTCTTCTGTACGCACCGTACGGCATATCTGGGGATGCGAGTTATCAATAAGAGTAAACGTGGTGCGAAAACGTTCCATGGTTAATCGAATTAACTGCTCTGATGGACGATTTTATCGACGATAAAATGGACGTAGTGCGCGATACGTATTCCGCACAGAACCATTATTTTCGAAATAAAATTTCACTATTTGCAAGCGTTGTTCAGGCGTGAGACTATTCATGATGAATTGCCAAAACGAAACTGAGAATAAATCACTTGACAGCTGTTAAATCGGTCGCCATCTTGAACAGTAATGCCAACTTAAAATTCTATATAGCGAAAAAAAACACCCATTATAACACTTATACGAACAGGAAATGGAAAAATATTGTTTAACAGTGCAATTAACAAATTATCGAAGAAGTACATCAGTTCTGCTTGCTTGACTGACATAGAAGTGTGATCTGATTATTGTAATAATTAAGATAAAATCTTGGAACTATTATTTTTTGTAACTATAATGAAGGAAATTAATATATTTATGAATATTTCGACTTTGTAACCCAATTTAAAGTTAAATGGCAAAGTGAGGAAAATTTTAATAGAAAATCACGGGTATTAGGGAGTAATTATTGTCTTTGTCTTGCTCGTTAATATAAATGAGAGAATGGGGTGTTCAATTAACCTATTTACCGATAAATTCTCATTGAAATTATTTACACAGTATTATTTGTTGATTAAACAATCATTTCCTTTAATATTTGTATAAAGTAAAATTCATAATATTCTGATTTCTTAAAAAACTTCCGAAAAAACGCATACAACTTTCTTAGAAATGGCAATGCTTTGAAATTCAAAATATTTAACTTTCTAATGTGTAAAAAAAAATGTTTGTCAAACAATAGCAGTATTTATTTGTCAG